CAAGGAGGGGTGCCTGCCCCTTTCTGTAACTCAGCTCTCTTTGGCCTGAGCTAATCACAATGGTCTCAGTTCCTTGTGCCTAATTGGTTTAGGGTGGTGCACATCCCTCATCCAGCCAATGGCTGAAAAGCTCTAGAAAATGTTGCTCTTAAAAATCCATCCCCTTCCACCCTGAAAATGACTGGCACACGACAGCTGTGCCTCATGCACAGGGCACGCTGCAGGCCACTGTGTCTGTGTGTTCCTCTATTGCCCTACCTCACTTCCACCTGGAAGATTAAACCAACTAGGGAGGAGGGGCAGACCCTGCTGAATGTTCCCAGACTGCATGAGATTACATACTCTCATTGCTGGGAAAACTGGAACCCTCCCGCAACCATTTTACCATGATGGCATGTTCCGTGGGGTTCGGAAGGCTCAAATGAGATTTTTTGCAAAGTGCCTCGTGACGCTCCAACATAGTGCTGGCATTAGCTTCCTCAAGGTTCTGGATGTGAAATCTTCCCCCACTGGATATAACTTGGGATAAGTTATATCCATGTTCTCAGCACTTGGTAAAAATGACATGTGAGTGTATCAACTCTAGATCAAGCAAACTTGTGTTCCCAGGATGCACAGAGGTTGGCCTAAAACTAAGTTTTAAGAAAAGAGGACCTTCTCAGATCGGTATGTATCTGGCCCATGTCCAAAGAAAAGTTGGCAACAGCATCTCCATCTAGAGATAAAGATGTCATCTGCTCAAAGCCAGTTTGTTTCCCTCTCCAGCCACCGCCTGAATATGTGTGGTGCAGGCTGACCTTCACGTGGCCTTTCCTTGAAGATGGATTGTTTACAGTTATTTACCTGTTCCAAAGTAAACATTTAAATACTGGGAGAAAGCAAATCATCCCAAAGGCACCGTGGTCACCCAGTGGCTTCCTTCGGTGAAGTGCTAAGCTTTGTCCTTTTTAGAGAAGTCTGTAAAGACCAGAAACGAACACAGAAGTTTGATGTGGTTTGGATATGGGCACCATGTGCACCAAAGACTGTCAGAACTGAAGAGGCTTTTGTCCTTGGTCCCACAGACCACGTTACTGTAGCTGGGGAAATAAAAATCTGTGGCCAAACAGCCAGAAATCTGTAAGCTAGAAAACTTGGCGTCCTCAGCTTCTGCTCCCTGGCTCGGGTCAAGCTCAGATAGTCTGTTCTCCTGGCCCCAGCTGCCCACGGGCAGGACCTGTGCTCATTCCTCCCGAGAAGGCCTAAGGTAGGTAAAGGGGCAGACATCCCAGACCAGACTCAGCTTTCAAAACAGACCTCTGATGGCTGCTCACCTCAGCAACTGGCTGAGCAGAGAAAGCTTGGAAACAACAGAGACTGTCTTTCCTCAGTACTCATTCCCAGCAAGGACAAGTATGTGATTATATAATGAGCTTTGTCTCTGGCACTGAAGAACTGACCTACAATGTCAAATGTGCAACTTATTAAGCAAATTCCACCAGGCCTACAACACATTCTTGCTTTCTCAGGACGTTCAGTTGCTCTACCACGAGAGTCCTACCCTCAACGGTTACCACTGGCAAACCCACACTTGTCCTGATACTTTGTAACCACACCAAGTTTCTCTGTGGGTTTTTAGGAATACAAAATCAGTTGATCTGCCCCCATTGGCCTTTGCCTCCACGATTTCTAGAGACCATAGATAATTGTTCAGGCCCAGTTTCGCAATGCTAGTCTGTCGGAGAAAATCTTTCCTTGGTCCCCTGCCTCCTCCGGGGCAGTCATAGCTTTGTTTTCTTCATTGAGATGCATACCCTAACAGATGCCTGGCTTCCATTTCAGTGGGTACACAGCTGTGCTCTCTTTCTAGTCTAGAAACCTTGACTCTGCCTGCTCTGAGCTTTCCCCTTTCCCAGTGAGCACACAGGGTGAGTAGTTGTGCCCTGGTGTGAATTGGTTGTTGTAAGTTCATTACCTGGCAGAACCCATTACTTGCTGAGGCCAGGTAAAATCATCCGTGGAAATACCTTCACGGGGAGGGCTGGGTCACTGTCACCATGGATCATGTTTTGGAGACACAGATGGCAGCGGCAACTTCTATGCATGTTGATATCCGGTCTTTTGCAAGTGCAGCAGATAAAACAGTATTTGTGCTAAGTTTGTTCACAGGCAAGTCCACATTTCTAAAATTAACATCAGTGATAGAAGTTGTAAGTAGACGTGCACGGAAAGCCCTGTTGCTTGTTCCAAGCCTCAGCTGAAGTCCACCCCTGAAGCACGGCGTGTGTCCAGTGTGTATGCGCAGATGCACATGAAGTGGCGTGTCTTGTTCTATACGTGGTAGCATGTTACCGCCATTGCTCTGTATGTACCTTTAAAGCCAGCATATGAGTGACAGGCCACAGTCTTTAGTGTTAAAAACCTTGAAGTAAGTCTGATGGGAGTTAACAGTAGGGAGGCAGAGGCAGGTGGATCTTTCTGATTTCAAAGCCAACCTGGTCTACATGGTGAGTGTCAGGACAAAGAGGGCTATGTAGAGATAGTCTGTCCCAAATAAACAACCCAGAAGTTATGAAAACTGATTTAAGAGATAGCTATTTACACATATAGCTATTTATACATAAAACTACACAAATAGCTTTTTACACATATAGTTACTTACGCATATAGCTATTTACACAGACACATGAAATCACAAGCTCAGTGTGGGCAGCCTTCCTGACTCACAGGAAGGGATGCTGATAAAGGCAGTCGAAGGTGGGCGCAGGTGTTCTTGCTAGACTTCCTGTATCCCTGCTACCACCCCTGATCTTCCTCTGTGTCTCCCAGGCCACCCTTCAATCTCTCGTTGTTCCCCTTCTTCCTCCCCCACCTGTCTTCATCTCCTCCTACCTCTCGCCTTTCTACCAGCCTTTGCCCTGAATTCTGTGACTTGTGTCTTCTGTAGTGGAAGAGGGTCATATAAAAGATGGCACCGGTCAAGAAGGCTGGGCCTGAAGATACAGGGAAGCCCACAGACCAACTGCCTTTCTCATCTGCTCTGGTGTAAGTGAAGGAAAGCCGGCTGGCATCCAGACACAAACAGAACCAGCAAGCGACACAGACCACAGATTGTGGATGGATGGATGACAGGGAATATTAAGGACTTTGATCACGTGTTATTGGGGCAGGATACACAAGCCCAAAGCCTTGGACCCAGGGAAGAACGCAGCATCAGGCTGGAAGCCCATGTGTCCAGCTGAAGCTAATGTCCACAGGCATCGTCTGTTTGTACAGGGAAGCGAGGCTCATGCGAGGTAATCCTCTTAACTGGGTCACTTGATGTGGGACTTTTTTCACATCTGTAAAAGCCCTTCACTAAGTGAGTAACCTGGATTTGAGTAACAGAGAAGCATGTGAGTCCAATATGGCTGTTTCCCTTCCATCCAGATCTTCCCCAAGCATATACCTTGAGCCTTTCTTAATGATAACCATACAAGAAGGGGAGTTCTGAGGACCTACAGCTTAGCCTATACAAATTGAGACTACGTAAATCGTCATTGTTGATGGACAGCTGTAAGGTTAATGCAGTGTGACCGCAGGTTTGACTGATACCTAACTGATAGAAGAAGTTGGAAATGTTCGATTTCTGTCTTTCATCTCAGCAGACTGCTGCTCTTGCCGGCTGGAACCCGTTCTGGGCTCAGACTTTAAGGACCACGGCGCCCTGAGAAAGGGAGGCAGGCAGGGAGAGAGGGAGAGAGATGGAGGGAGGGGAGGGTGAGAGAGAAGAGGAGGGGGAGAGAGATTGAGAGGCAGAGAGAGGGAGGAGGGAGGGAGGGAGAACCTGATTTCTCTACCCCTTGTAGCCACAGCTGTCATGTGTGACTGAAGAAGACTGCATTACTAGTTTTCAGTCACTATTAGAAATCAGCTAATTGACCAAACTCATGGCTACCTGACTCAGAAGTTAACAGTGTCTTGACCTTATCATTCTGTAACTACTGGGAACCTATAACTTGAGGAACACAATTCCCTTACCCAGGAATAGAAACCAAAGAATACATGTCTGCCTGGATTCTCTTAACACCTGGCCCTCTAAGCTGGCTCTCCAGAGCAACCTCAACAGGGCAGACTTCTTCCTGTGCCCACTGCCCTTCCCTGGCAACTGGCTTGGGAGATCAAGCACCTAGGGCAGCTGTTCTCAACCTGTGGGTCGCAACCCTTCTGGAGGTCATGTATCAGCTATTCTGCATATTAGATATTTACATTACAATTCATAACATTGGCAAAATTACAGTTATGAAGTACCAATGAAATAATCTTATGGTTGGGGGGCTCACCACAACATGAAGAGCCGTATTAAAGGGTCTTAGCATTAGGAAGGTTGAGAACCACTGTTCTAGAGGCAAGGAATTTGCCAGCCAGGGTGCCGAGATCTCTGAAAACAAGAAGCAGGGACACCGTGGTTGCTTCCCATGAGGATTTGTTTTCAACATTGGGCTCTTCCGAGAACCGTTCTGTCATCATGGAAATAGAGCTGGAGTGAGCATGCCCTGGTGTCTGAGGAGCTGTTCTTGCTTGAGGAATGTGTGCTCTCAAAGCTCACAGGAAGATGTCCATATGGAAACGGGGATTCCCTCACTTCTGTGTGCTTTGAAGCAGTTAAGTGGGGTTGATTGGAAGCAGCAAACAGGCAGCAGCTGGGAGCATGAGCCACCCAGGATTCCAGGTGGAGCTGCACTGTGGTCGCATTTAATGCTTTACTCCCCTCTAGTGGTCTCAGGCAGCTCGTGATAGCCTGGGTATAGGAGGGCAGATTTTAGAGGAACGCATTTAAAGTGTGTTTAAAGCTTGCTGGTGTATTGTAGCATTTCTGTTCAAGTCTATAAAATGTCAGTATAAAAAACAAAGATCAATGAGTTTGATTGCCCCCCCACACACACAAGATGAGGAATGACTCCTCCAGAAGGAGTCTGCTTCTGATTGCTCTTCTCACAGCTGACCTCAGTATTTAACTTACAAGCGTATGTTGTCCACAGATGTTGACCGCCTACACTCAGATGCTCACCGGCTCAATGAGAGGAGGCTTATACCTTGGAGGAAACTGGAAGTCAAATTTAGTGAGTATATCTGGTGGTGTTGCTACTCTGGGAGGGGAGGGCCTTGACCCAGTAAGGAAAGGGTAAGAATGTTCAAGAATGCTCGGAGATGAAAACACCGACCAGGAGGACCCTGATCTGCCCTTCCTTAGCTCCTGCTAATTGCAATATTTCTCAGTGGTGCCTTCAGCTCCCGCCGCTCCTGTTCAGTAGTACAAAGTTCTGCTGTGGGATCCTCAGTCCTGTTTCGCTCTTTAAAAACATTCACTTGTTCTCCAAGGAGTTAATTTTTCTCTACTCTCACAGCAAGGTAAAGAAATTTCATTTGGGAGATGAGAAATAATAATGTTACAATGGGAGACAAAGCCTTTCCTGGTGGTTAGCAAAGGGACTCTTGCTCATCATAGGAAATGTGGCCAGTGTACTGAGACCTTGCACACTTGCAGCTGGCTCCAGGGAAGGTATAACCAACTAGACTGCTTCTCACACACATAAAATTCCAAATTCTGCACCAACATAAAAACAGCCACAAAACCCAACTGCCTAGATGCAGCAGGCTGAGTATAATTAGACTTTAGAGAGAGGTCGATGTTTGAGAGGAAGAGATGACAAAGATCTAGCTCTCCGGGTTTACACAGCTTTTAACTGACTGCAGCTGACCAAATGGAGTCTGAGATGCCCACTTAAAATGTATAAAGAGTGAGTGAGTTCAGGGTGAGCATTAGAAAGTGAAGTCCCAGCAACGGGAAAGCCAGAATGGAAATCAGAAACCCTGTGTGCAAACTACACCAGCTTTGCATGAACCCATGAGCTCTTCTTGGGTAGGGCTGGTTCTAAGTGGTTCAGTTAAGGGTGAAGTAACAGATGGGGGGTTTGGACTGCTGCACTTTACAGCTTGAGTCTAACAAACTGCTGACATAAAGCAAAAATAATGAGTAATGAGTGCTCCTCGGGGGATGTGTCAGAGTCCAGCCCCGTCCCCACCCGCTCATGGCCACACACTTCACCTGTGTGTGATCCAGAGTCACCCAGCACAGGAGAAGCAAAACAGCCAACACAGATGATCACACTGTTGAAATGATCAGATTAGAAAATTCAAGATGGCTTTTCAGAACTATACCCAATGATGTAAAGGAAAATATGCTTGTAGTAAATGAAAAGATAGGACATTTCAGCAAAGAAATAAACCCTGGGAAAAAAAAAAACACCAAAGCCCAAAACTTTGAATTGAAGATTAAATTATCTGCAATATAAAATTCACCTGATGGGTTTAACGGTGAAGGAAATGACAGAAGATGTCACTCAGCTTGAACATAGACCTGTAGAATTATCTGCAGCACAGTGATCAAAGACTCAAGAGAAACGGAACCTAGGATCTTTGTATTAATGTAATAATAAGTTCAGAGGAGAGACAGAAAAGAGAATAGAACATTTTAAGTAATCCTACCCAAACCCAATTTTTGTGTAAATTATAAGTTTTAAAAAGCTTACAACACAGATTTCTGAAAACTAAAAATAGAAACTCCTGGACATACCCAGAGAAAAAGAGAAAACCACCATTATTTCTAAGAGAATAATGATCTAGATGATAACTTAGATCTCATCAGAAATAGAGACCAGAGGCAGTTGTGCTAGCTAATTTTATGTCAGTTTGACCCACGCTAGAGCCATCAGAGAAAGGAACCTCAATTATGAAAATGCCTCCATAAAAATGGGACTGTAGGCAAGTCTGTAGGACATTTTTAAAACTAGTAATTGATGTAGGAGGATCTGTCCCCTTGTGGGGGGCACCAACCCTATGCTAGTGGTCCTGGGTTCTATAAGAAAGCAGGCTGAGCAAGCCGTGAGGAACAAGCCAGTAAGCAGCACTCCTCCATGGCTTCTGCATCAGCTCCTGCCTCCGGGTTCCTGTCCGGCATGAGTTCCTGCCCTGACTTCCTCCACTGATGAACAGTGATGAGGAAGTGTAAGCCAAATAAACCATTTCATCCCCAAGTTGCTTTTGGTAATGGTGTTTCATCACAGCAATAGTAACCCTGACTAAGACAATAGCAACATTAAGTAAATTTCATGTTTAATCTCAAGTCTCATTCCAACATAATACATATGTAGATATAGATACATAGATATAGATATATAGATACATATTTAATTTTCCAAAATTGAAACTTTTCCCATGCTGGACACTCAGTCTGTGTATTGTATAAAATAGGGAAGAAAGTCTGATCCAAATAAACTGCTTGTGATCCTAAGCTTGAGCATATTTCACAGTCGACTTTTGTCTTTGTGTCCAAGAAGGAGTGAGTATTGAAAGCTCAGGTTCCTTTGGTCATGGTATTTTATCACAGCAATAATCCTAAGACAACAGTAAACGAACACTGTTTGGGTGTGTGTGCATGCGTGTGTGTATAGATGCATGCAGTGTTGGTGCATGTGAGAACAGAGGTGCTAGACTGGCTGGCTGCCCAGTGAGCCCCAGGGATCCTCCTGCCTCCGCTTGCCCAGTGCTGGGATTCCAAGTGCATGCCACCATGCTCAGCTTTTTGACGGGCTCTGTTATCCTTTTGTTTAATTGTTGCTGCCTTTTAAGCTACAGCTATCTGAATCAGCAGCTGTAACTCCACCACTACCAGCAGCAGTTAGGGGTCAGGCCGCAAGGGCCAGAGCCGGAGGGAATTCTGTTCTCTCAGGCTCCGACTCTTGCAGAGCTATGAAGGGAACTTAACTGAAACTCTATCGCTCTAAAGAACTCAAGATTCAAAGGTTAAGGTGGAATTCTGCTCCTCAGAGAGGCTGAATAGCAAGTAACTCGCCTCCCTCCAAAAAAGCCCGCATGCTTTGCCTCACCCCTCCTTAAAAGCCCTCTCTGCCTGGCTCCTCCCTCCCACTTCCTGTCAGCTAGTTGCTGACTCAGCCTTCTGATCGCAGGTAAATTTTATTTAATCAAACACATCTTTACATCTTTAAACAAATGTTCCAGAGCATAAGCAAAAGGAACACACCTTAAAACAATGTTCTACCACAGGGCTCTGGGGAACAAGTTCCCCTCCCTCTTACACAACAAGCACTTTACCACAGGGCTATCTCCCAGCCCCACCAACACCTTTAAAAAGTGTCACAGGAAAAATGTCTGTCGGCCTTAAATTATCTATCCACAGATACACTGAAGAAAGAAGGGCCGTCGGGGGTGGTGGATCACACCTGTAATCTGAGGCAGAAGAATTTCCTTGAGTTTGAAGGCAGCCTACTGTACAGTGAGTTCCCAGCCATCCTGGACTACAGTGAGGTCCTGTCTCAAAAAGGCTTAATGAGAAAGGGAAGGGAGAGAAGGGAAAGAAGGGATGGAGGAAGGAGAGGGAAGAAAGGGACGACGAAGAAGGGAAGGGAAGAGGAACAGAAAGGGAAAAGGAAGGAAGGGACCCCAACTCCAGTCAGGAAACAGTTGGTTACCCCATAACAGATTTGCCTCTGTGGTACCAGTGGGCACATCTTGCCTGACCAGTCAATATTGTTGCACTGAGTAAGGCTGGCAGTTCTCTCTTAGTAGTCTGCATAGAATTTTCTCCACTGAGGGCTAGCCAGCAGGGAGAAACCTTGGAGCCCCATTTCTGCTGTGTTTTTCTGTGTCCTGCAACTAGACCCCCCCGCCCCCGTGTGTGTGTGTGTGTGTGTGTGTGTGTGTGCGTGTGCGTGCGTGTGTGTGTGTGTGTGTGTGTGTGTGTGTGTGTGTGTGTGTATGAATGTTTAGCAGTAGGATTTCATCATCTAGTTCTGTTGTTAGCCACCAGCAGCGGAAGTTGTCAGCAGGGCTTTGGGAGTCTTAGGGTGGTAGCCCGCCCTTGTCACTGGGGTTTTCATTTAGCAGCCTATGGCATCTGACAGCAGCTCCAACCACTCATATAGGGTGTTTTGTTTCTAATTTTAGGATTTGGTTAGCTTGCCAAGTAGCTGATTTCTTGTTTATTGCTTTTTCTTGCATGGCTGTGTTTGGTTGACCCTCCCCCCACCTCCCTGCCCAACTCACAGCTTTCCATCCCCAGTTATCCACCTTTGGCTTTTGTATCACATGCATTCTATTATTCTTCCCTCCCTTAGAGAGTGTTTTCCTTTCTCATGGGCCTTGCCTAGCTTCCCAGGCTCTAGACATACTCTTCCCCACATACATGTGCATTTATAACAGGTAGAATCTGTAGGCTCTGCATACGAGAGAGAGCATGCTGTGCTTCTGAGCTGAGTGTTTTCCGGTTCCATCCATTTTCCCAATTCTCATTTTACTTTTCTTTATGACTGAATAAACTTCCATTATGTATATTTTCCACATTTTCACTATCCGTTCATCTCTTGATGGACGTCCAGGCTGATTCCATTTCTTTGTTATTGTGACTATTGCAGCACTAAATACGGACGAGCAAGCATCCCTGTGGTGAGATGAATCCTCTGCCGCTGTTGCCCCAGTAGGTACAACTTGAGTCCTTTCAGTGGTGTAGCTGGGTTATCTATGAAAGTTCTGTGTTAGGGTTTTTGTTTGTTTGTTTGCTTGCTTGTTTTTAGAAACATTCACTGCCAGGTGGTAGTTGCACACGCCTTTAATCCCAGCACTCGGGGATCAGAGGCAGGTGGATCTCTGAGTTCGAGGCCAGCCTGGGCTACCAAGTGAGTTCCAAGACAGCTAGGGCTACACAGAGAAACCCTGTCTCAAAAAACAAAACAAGAAACAAAAGAACCATCTGTGCTGATTTCCATAGTTGTTACACCATGTCCAACCCCACCAAAAGTGGGTTCATCGTGTTTCATGATGACAGCTGCTCTAACTGGGGTGACATGGAATCTCAGAATGGTTTTAATCTGCATTTCTCTGATGGATATGGATGTTGAATGCTATTGGTCTGTTTTATTGAGACAGAGTCTCTCTATGTAGCTCGGGCTGGCCTGGGACTCACAGAGATCTGCCACAACTCCGTAAGTGCTAGAAGTAAAGGCATGTGGCACCGTGACTGGATGTTGAATACTTAAAAAATATTTATTATCCATTTGTATTTCTTCCACTGGGAATTCTCTGTGGGTTTTGACCCACGCCCTCCCGAGCCTATCCTGTGTTTCTAACTGTCTCTCTCCTCTATATTTCTGTCTACATATTCCTCATTTCTCCCTGCTTAAGTGTACCCTGGGGGGAAAGTGGGGGCAGGCCCCCCACAAGCTCTCAGATGATTGTTTGATTGGGTTGTTTTCTTACAGTTTGGGGCTCCCCCCACCCCGTTCTTTGTGTATCCTCGGTCTGATGAGCAGCTGTTGGGTTCCGCCCTTTCTTCAGGCTCCCTTCACCGCCCTTCCCTCTGCTGTGCAGAGCTTTGCAATGCCACCTGGTCCCATTTGTTGATTGTTTCTCATTTCCCGAGGTACTGGAGTCCCTCAGAGGGCCCTCACCCATCCTGATGTCTTGAAATGTTGTTCCTACCTTTTCATCTAACAGTTTCAGGTTTTACCTTGAAGACTTTGATATATTTGGAGTTGATTTTTGTGCAGGATGAGAGATAAGGGTGTAACTATCATTCTTCCACATGTAGACATCCAGTTTTCCCAATACCATTTGTTGAAAGGGCTGTCTTTCCTCCAATATATATTTTTGGCATCTTTGTAAAAAAAAAAAAAATCAAGCTATAGCTATATGGGCTTTTGCCTGGGTCCTATTCTTTCCCATTCGCCCGTGTGTCTGTTTTTGTGTTGGTGCCATGTTGGTTTTATTATTATAGCTCTGTTGTATAACCGGAAATCGGTTATGCTGATACCTCCAGCAGTATACATTTTCTTAGGAGGGCTTTGGCCATCCAGCGTCTTTGGTGCTTTCATATTAATTCTTTGATTCTGTATTTCCTGTTTGTATCCCTGTTCTTTCCTTCTCCTGTCTTATTGCTCTTGCTAAGCATTTTATTGAATAGAAATGGAGGATGTATACCCTTGTTTTGTTTCTGATCTGATTGAAAAATCTTTTGGTTTTTTTTCCCCATGTAGCTTGATTTTGGCTATAGGTCTGTTGTATATAGCCTTTATTAAGTGAATATATTGTGGTGGTTTAAATGAGAATGGTCCCCATAGGCTCACATGTTTGAATACTTGGTACCCAGTTGGTGGAACTGTTTGGGAAGAATTAGGAAATGTGGCCTTGTTGGAGGAGGTGTGTCATTGGGGCAGACTTTGTGACTTCAAAAGCCCCCCTGTGTCCCCCATCCCCAGTGAGCTGTCTGCCTCCCGATTCTGGTTTGAGACGTGGGCTCTCAGCTGTTTCTGCTGCCACGCGTTTGCTCCGCCATCATGAACTCTAACCGTCTGGAACCTTAAACTCTTTTATAAGTTGTCTTGGTCATGGTGTTTTATCACAGCAGTAGGAAAGTAGTTAATGCAGGCTGTGTTCTCTCTATTTCTTGTCTTTTCAAGGCTTTTATTATGAAGGGAGGGGAGGGAGGGAGGGAGGGTTAAGACAGATTTCTTTGTGTAGCCTTGGCTGTCCTGGATCTCGCTCTGTAGACCAGACTGGCCTTGAACTCACAGAGATCTACTTGCCTCTGCCTCATGAGTGCTGGGATAAGAGGTGTGTGCCACCACTGCAGGATTATTGGGTTTTGTCAAAGGCCTTTTCTATGTCTGTCGAAGTGATTTATGATTTTTGTGCTTGAATCCATTTCTGTGATATACTGCATTTATTGACTTACATATGGTGAACCATTTTGCATTTCTGGAATAAAACTGATTTAAGCATGATGGGTCTTTTAGATGTATTCTTGAATTGAATTTCCAAGTATTTTATTGAGTGAGCATGTGTGTGTGTGTGTATGTGTGTGTGTGTGTGTGTGTGTGTCTGTGTGTGTGTGTACATGCACACATGTGCATAAACTTCAAGTCATGATTCTGCTTGAAATTGCTACCTGAAGAGTGGGAAGCCGGTAAGTTTCGCTACCCTCTGCCTCTGGGGGCTCTCATTCTTTCTTCTTCATTTTCCAGTAAGGTACTGCCTGCGAGAGACCACCCCATGTTGAGGTCTCTGAGGTGGCTCTGTGATGAACCCTGTGCCTTTTCTCCTTTGTTCTTCCCCACAGGCCACCAGGGATTGACGGACACATTCTTCAGCTTCAACACTCTCCTATGACCGGGGCCTCTGAGGATTTTCCTGGGATTATTTATCATATAGACTGTTCATTTGGTGACTCAAGCTTTATACAAAAATATATGTGACTATTAAGTCTGCTACCATAAAACGACTGCATCAGGAGTAGATTTCTAGCCATTTAGTGTTGTGTTGAAGGAAATGGAAATAACATGGGTTTCTGTTCCCGAGTCTTTTACTTCGTGTTTTCTCCTCTTCTGTGTTTCCATTTCTTTCTTGTCATTCTATTTTTAATTTCTTCTTGATATTTTCTTCTTTTTGTCTTTTATTTTGTTTCTATTATTTCTTTTGTTGTCTTTCTTTTTTCTTTCTTTTCCTTTTTAAAAAATTGACCTAAAAAAAACAGGAAAAAAAAAAAAACTTTTTTTTTTGTCTAATACAGAAAGTGATTTAATAATATCTATTTAGAAAATTAGTCTATCTATCACTAACTAGGACAATGAGGTTCAATGTCCTTGGGATTATATCACATTTATTGGGTAATGATTTTCACATAATAACTGCTCATTAAATTGTTTCTTTTGAATGAAACTTCATTAAAAATTCCAGCTCTGTGGTGAGCACATTGTGAGATCAGAATGTTGCCAAGCAGACTGTACCTGTGAGTCAGTCAGCCTAACCCGAACTGACAGAGAAACTGATGGAATGTTAATTGATAGCAGCTGGGTGACTGGCAGGCCGGCTGGGCCCGGACAGGGCCAAGGATCTCTCAGCAACTATAAAACTTAGATTTGTCAAAGACCCCAGAGGCTTTTTAATGAGAATGACCTCTGGTTAAAACTCGAGTAAAGGGGAAATAAAGATAGCGATTTGGGGACTTTGGATCTAGCATATTTTCCACTTAATAGCTGCTGACTTAGAAGATAAAACTCATGGAATTCGTATAGCCATTCTGGCTTGCCTTTAATGATCTCAGAACCCGGTTAGGTGGGCTCATGACCCGTTGCTTAGCTACACTGGAAACATACACACACGGGAATGGGGGTTGGGGGGTGAGGGCGAGACAGGAAGAGTCCCAGAATGCAAAGCAGTGCTTTTAGTACCTTGGCTGAGGGGGAAAGCAGGTTGTGGTGATTGGATTTGCCTCTTAGAGGAGTCCTAGCGGGGCAGCTTGGCTGCAGTTGGAAGACTTGGGGATGGGCTTGTGGGAAATACAATCAGGAAGCGTGCCTCACCAGCTGGATGCGCACCAGTAAGACCCCGCCCCCAATCTGTGAATGACTCTAAGTTGATACCGGAATAAAGCACCAAGGCTAAACTTCGCACTGGTTCCAGGGCATCTTTTTGTGGGGGCTCTGAACAGCTTCCTCCTGGGGCTTGAAAGTCCCTGAGGAGTCAGTGGTCACCTTGTCCATTAAATGAGAACGACTGGCCTGCATGTGTGAAGCTGGATGTTCACCTTGGTGACAATATGCTAGTCAGAGTTGGGCTCTGCTTGAGACGCTCGTGTAGTCGAGTGTTAGGATGTATGCAGATGGGCTGTTGGATTTGTCTTGTCCTTCCCTGTACACAGCTTCATTCCTGTGGCCTTTGAAGGCAGATTCTTGACAGCATTGCATTTTATCTGTAGATACCTTAGAATTCTGGCTACTCTTGAGAAGGGTCAAGGCTGTATCTAGTTTTCTCTCAGAGGATACCACATGACATAAACCCAATCCATGTTACTTCCTCCCCATCTGCTTCCGCAAGCACATCATCGCTCTCTCTCTCTATGTGTTGGGCATAATAGGTGCTTCTCAGTGCGAGCTTATTGTATGCGCCCGTCAGTTTTCAGGGAGTCAGTGTGTGAAGAGCAGCTCCACCTCCATATGTACCTAAGAAATGCCCCTCTCTGCAGTTAGAAGTGCCGGGGGCTGTCGCTCATTGGACCACGGCAAGTGCTTTACTGAGTCGTCCCTCAGTGCTTCGAAGCTTTATTACTCTAAATTTGGGTGATTGTTTTCTGTACAAGCATCCGAGGGGGCATACTTATGAGTTTGCAAGTGTGCAGGAAGACTTGTGTGAGGGCCTGTGGAGGCCAGAGGTCAGTGCCCATGTGTCCTCCCCAGTCTCTCTTCACCAAACCCGGAGCTTGCCATTTTGGCTAGGCCGAATGGTTAGTGAGCTTTAGGGAATTGCCCGTCATCGTCCCCTCTTACCGTGTCCATGTCTGCCTCCCACGTCAGGGTTACAGATACTGGGGACTGTGTATGTGGACACTGGGGATCGGGTCTCAAGTCCTCATGCTTACATGGCAAGCATTTTACCCACTGAACCGGGTCCCTCATTTTCCCCTTCTTAGGAATATTTTTGGTCAATATATTCCCAAGGAATGAGACTGTGGATACAATGCAATATATTGAATGGCTGGTTCTTTCTTCAGTAGTATAAGGTCCCTCTGGTTTCCAGAGTAATTTCTAAAATATATATTCCTAGACCTTTTATCCTGCTCTTTCATTTGCAAAATTCTGCTACCAGTATTGCACACTATGATCATTTAGATAGCAAGAATAAACTTGAATATCTGACTGATGTGGTCCTGGGAACCAAACCCGGGTCCTCTGTAAGGGCAGTCAGTGCTCTTAACCACTGAGCCATCTCTCCAGCCCCACAGCCCTCTCTGAGTACATGCTTCCAGAGGCCTAGAAACCACCCTTTAGGCTCTGCCTCTCAAAGGCTGTATTATCTACTGACAGCACCATGAGCTGAAGACCAAGCCTTTAAGACATGACCTCCGGGGAAATTCTAGATGTCAGTACTCCAAGTGGTAGTCCAGGTGTTTTGGAGAGTCATAGGATATTTGACTTTTCGTTTTCCAGACACATATATACCTGTTTTCCTGTTCCTTCTCCCTCTTCTTCTTTTCTCCTCCTCCTCTTCTCTCCCCCCTCTCCTCCCCCCTCCTCCCCCTCCTCCTCTCCCTCCTTCTTCCCCTCTTCCTCCTCCTCTTCTTTTCTCCTCTTCTTCCTCCCTCCCCCCTTCGTCTTTTCATCTCTAATTGTACTGACTGGCACTTCTAGAATGGCACTGGTTAAGAGTGACGGCAGCATCGTTCCTGCCTTACATCTGATTGAAAAGAGAATGCTTTTGTAGCAGTGTTTCCCAGAGTTTCTTAAGGTGTTGTTTACTTTAAAAGGGAAGAGTCCTGACTACAGCTGCCCCTCTCTCTACTCCTCCCAGTTCCCCTCCCATCCGGATCCACTCCCTTTCTGTCTATCATTAGAAAAGAACAGGCTTCTAAGAGATAACCACAACACATAACAAAATACAATATGATAGATAAAACAAAAACCATCACATCAAAGCTGAACAAACCAAGCCAACAGAAAAATAAAAGAGCCCCAAGAGAAGGCCCAAGAATCAGAGACCCACTCGTTCACACACTCAGGAGTCCCATAAACACACTAAACCGAAAGCTATGCTATATGTGAAGAGGACTGGGTGCAGACCTGTGCAGGCCCTGTGCTGCTCCTTCAGTCTCTGTGGGCTCATGGGAGCTTTGCTCAGTTGGTTTAGAGAACCGTAAAGAGTCTGAAATATCAGTAGAAAAGAGATGTGTGGTTAGCTTCTGCTTCTGCTTCCCAGATGCCTTTAGTAATCATGAACTTCTCATCCATTTTGTCTGCAGTATTTGCCTGACCAATCCCAACATGGCTAAGCATTCTAATGGCTGTTACTTTTTGTTTGTTTGTTTTTTTGAGACAGGGTTTCCTGTGTAGCCCTGGCTGTCCTGAAATTCACTCTGTAGATCAGGCTGGCCTCAAACTTTGATTCCTATTTGACTACAATTAAATGCTAAATTTATCAGATATATTTTTAGTTTTCAATCAAGATGATTGAATATCTTTTTCACTTGCCCAATGTGCTCAATCATATTAGTATATAATATTAGTATATATTTGTTATTAAACCATCCTTGAATTCCTAAAAGAAACCATTCAATGATTGTGGGTTTTTTTTCCCTTACTGTCCCTCCATATTTTGCTTACTACTATTATATTTAAGGTTTTCCAATTCTTTTTTTTTTATCTAATTTATTTTTCAATACTATTCAGTTCTACATAATAGCCTGGGCTCGTTGCATGAGGTTTTCCAATTCTTACGGTCGGAAGTTATAATAATCTCTAGTTTTCTTTGATATGTCGATATCAGCTCATACCAGCTTCATAAAATGAACTAGAGATTTCCCACACTTTGCGTAAACTCCATGGGGCGTCAACAAGGTCTGGCACATGCCAGATCTCACTTCATCTTAACTCAGTCACATTTGCAACTTGGTTTGTCCAGTAGAATATGATGGGAGTAATATGTGCAGTTAAAAAGCCCAGACCCTAAATTGGCTGGTGCATTTTCTTCTTATTCTTAGAAATCTGCTGTTTCTATGTGAATCACCCAAAGCTGGCCTGCTGGGAAATGAGAGACCACATGAAGTAAGCTAGTAGCCCACCCAAGACTGTTCTAGACCAGCCTGGAGTCAGACACAGCCTAAACAAGATCCCAGAGCCGTCTAGCTAGCCAGTGGGGACTGCATGGAACAGATCACCTGACACACAGGAGCAGTAGTATGCACGTTGCCATAGCTGTATTTGTTATGCAGCAGAGGCTTGCTAATACAGTTCTGTGTCTTTAGAGGAAAAGCTTTTACATAGAGACTTGAAAGTGCATTGCAATACTTTCATCTGACATTTTCTTATGAGTTTTTACAGTTTTTAAGTGAATTACCCTTCCCGGATTCTAATGGTTTTACTTGCTGAGCTTTCTGTGTGAGTACACATTTATTCCAACAAAGTTTTGTATGGTTTTAATCTTAAAAAAAAAAACCCAAATATATACCTATCTATAATTTATCTATATTAAATGTAGACTTCTAATATATAATTGTTTGCTATTTTTAAAGATTTATTATTGTTATTTATTTTATGTTCTAAATAAAATTTTAAGAAAGAATAAATTTGTCATTTTTACTCTTGTGATTTATTTTGTTGCTGTTTTCTAGAGTTTTGGGCTAAACAATAGCTCCTTTTTATACTAAAAGTACATTAAAACTATCGATTTCACTTAGTTCAGCTATGGCAGAATCTCATGTTTAAAATTAAAAAACTACCATCTTTCCTCCATCTCACTACACTTGGTGCTCACTTGGGAAATACAAAAGCTTGCTGGGAGGTAACTTATAAGTATGGCATAGGACAGTCGTGGACTGACCAAGTGTGGGATTCTGCCAGTGGGGCTTCCTGGGGGAAAAGTTCAAGGGTTCTCCTGTTGAAGCCAACTGGGAAGTCATGGGTTTTAATGAGAATATGTAGGTATCAGTAAAGTCCATTGATACAAGCAGCCCACAGACGACTTTTCATTTTACTCCTGGGGGTGTTCACATCCACACAGCTGCCTCTCCTGCAGGCTGGGTTCCTGATCTCTGCAGATGCGATCCTAGGCGATGTTTTTGTTGTTAGTCACATCTTTGCCAGAAAAGACTTGATGTGAACTTCCCTCAGAAAATCACAAAGAATTTCAGCTTTTTTCATTATCAGTAATATAATTAGTTTACACAAAATTTTTGACATGCCTTCTCCAATTTTGCGAGGTTTTAAAATTAATAAACACTGGAAGAAAAGGGAATTAGTGATGGTCTGTTGATCAGCTGGGGCAAACCATTGCTTGTCAAAATGATGATGTGAAGGAGGAAAAATGTTTTGGGTAAATAAGTATATTGTGTAACTGTAAATCTGCATCGGATTCTGACAGAGATAGGAGGGGAAATGTTTCTGATTTCTATTGGAGAGGAAGCATTCTGACACACAGTAAACCACTGGACTACCCATGGTGTCTGCTTGGCAAGGTGGAGTTTGTGACTTTAATATAGCTGCATTCCTCACTAGGGGTAGGGTGCAAGACTCCTGCCAATGTTGGGTTGTATTGTTTGGAGTTTTTTTTAACCTGCTGGATGCCCACAAATATGAAAGAAAATGCTCACATGTTCAATAACCCTCTTTATCTGAGGTAGAAATCCAGAGCCCAAAGGGCTCACTGAAGCAAGCCTTTTTTCTCAGTCCTGGTCACATAGATGATGACAGTTGTGTACATGCACTTTAGTTGTGGGCTTCAGGAGCATGTGTGGCACTTGTCACTGTCACCTGATGAATCTATGACTTGTGGCTTCCTGTCTGTCAGGGTTTGAGTGCAAGTCATAGACATGACCCTGCAGAGGGTCCTGTGTTTGATGATTGTCCCACTTCCCTAGACCACGGGGATGTTTCTGTGTGCCCTTCCCCCTTGTCTACCGATCTTTGTCGTAAATACCTGTGCTTCCGCAGAGGACTGCCCTCGGAGCCCTGGAGTACTCTGTCAGCACACAGCACCCTCTCCCTCTCTTCACTGTGGCCGCCAGCGGCGGTGGCGGCAGATGATAGTAAATTTGAAAGTTCCACTCAGCTGAGGTTCATCTGTGAGCTGTAATTTGCCCTCCAGAGGACTTCGGTGGGTATGAGCTGGGGCCGGAGCTCTGCCTAAAGTCATAACCTCTCTCAGCTTCTTCCCCTTTCCATTGTCACATCCCCTGTCCCCTTATGGGTCACTCATGGAAACATCTCCTCAATAAGTCACATATAAATTTTTACTTCAGAGTCTGTTCTGGGTACACTGACCCAAGGCATGGCTCAAATCACTCAAGAAAGGGGGTGCCCCAAGGCATGGCTCAGGTCACTCAATAAGAAAGGGGGTGACCCAAGGTATGACTCTGGTCACTCAAGATGAAAGGGTCCTTTCAAGACACTGAAAAGGATCAAGAACCAGAAGCCACTATTAAATTTAAATTATAATACCATAGTCATAAATCAAAGCTTAGAAAGCTTTTGTCACCATGGTCACACCTACTTCTAGTAGCCAAAGCTATTGACTGGCACAGAAGCACGCACGCGCTCATGATTATGTAGATCTCCACAGCTGTAACTTCCTAGAAGGCACAACAGCAAGGTGGTGTCCTAGAAGGTTCCAACTCATCCTTGCAAACTCAGCTAACTGGCTGAGCCAATTTCAAATGTAGAACCTAGCTGCAAGGGAGTTTGGGGGAACATTTTCCTTTCCTGTCTATGTAATATAAGGAAACACTTAGAAGGAAGTGGGCATTGAAGCTGGTTGCCAGTCAGTCTTAACAGTGGCAGAAGGCAAGAGAAGATGGCATGTATTCACTTTAGCAACGTTTAATATTATGTTTCTTTGTTTGTTTGTTTGCATGGAAAGTTGTCTCTTGTTCTCAGTCCCTGGTGGGCCACAGATCTGGTTCTGTGTGTGTGTGTGTGTATGTGTGTGTGTGTATGTGTGTGATGCATGTGTGTGTGTGTATATGTGTGTGATGCATGTGTGTTTGTGTGCAAGCACACGTGTGTACGAGTATGAATGTGTACATGCACCTGTGGTAGCCAGAGCTTGGTATTAGGATGTCTTCCTCAGTTGCTTTCTATGTTTTAATTTGTTTATTTGCTGAGACAGAGTCTCACTATGTAGCCCTGGCAAGCCTAGAATTTGCTCTGTAGACCAGGCTGGCCTCAAACTCACAGAGATCTGCCTACCTCTGTCTCCTAAGTGCTGAGGTTAAACGTGTGGGCCACTATATCCAGCTTTCACCTTATTTTTTAAAGACAGAGCCTCTTCACTGAACCTGGAACTTACCATTCCAGGTAGGCTGGCTGAGAGCTCCTGGGAGCCACCTGACTCTTCTCCCCTACACTGGGATACAGATGCTCACAGATGACCACGTGAGCTTTTTCTGTAGGTTCTGGGGATCCCAGGCTCTCATGATGAAATAACTTGGAAAGTATTCTTTTTTTTTGGGGGGGGGGAGGGTTGGGACAGAGTTTCTCTATGTAGCCTTTGTTGTCCTGGAACTTGCTCTGTAGAACAGGCTGGCCTCGAACTCACAGAGATGCGCCTGCCTCTACCTCCCAAGTGCTGGGATTAAAGGTGTGTGCCACCACTGCCTGGAATGGAAAGCATTCTTTAGGGAGTAATCCCTGATCTATGTGTCACAATTCTTTTTTTAAAATTTAATTTATTTTGCATCCCAACTGCTATTTCCTCTCTGTTCTCTTCTCCTGTCCCCTCCCACTTATCTTTTTTCTTCCCCCTTACCCCCATCCCACTCCTCTGTTTCTGTTCAGAAAGGAGCAGGCCTCCCATGGGTATAAATAAAGCATGACATACCAAGTTGTGGTCAGACTAGGCACCTCCCCTTGTATGAAGGCTGAGCAAGGCAATCCAGTAGGAGGACTAGGTTCCAAAGAGCCAGGCAAAGCATCAGGGACAAACCCGCTCCCAATGTTAAGAGTCCCACAAATAGACCAAGGTACACAACTGTCACATATACGCAGGCTCCCTGGTTGTTGGCCTAGACTCTGAGTTCCTATGAGCCAGATTAGTTATTTCTGTGGGTTTTCTTGTGGTGTCCTTGACCCCTCTGGCTCCCACAATTCTTCCTCCCTCTCTTCAGCAGGATTCCCCAAGTTCAGCCTAACGTTTGGCTGTGGGTCACTGCATCTGTTCTATCAGTTACTGGATGGAGGTTTTCTGATGACATTTGGGGTAGTCACCAATCTGGTCACAGGAGACGGCGAGTTCAGGCTACATATTTACTATTGCTAGGAGTCTTAGCTGGGGTCATCTTTGTAGATTGGTGGGAATTTCCCTTTCATCAGGTTTCTACCTGACCCCAAAGCCTCCCTTTTCCAGTCATCTTTTTCAGTCCTCTCCCCCAAACCCCAGCCCAACTCAATCCCTCAAGTTCCCATCCCCACCCACTCCCACTCCACCAGGAGATCTCCTCTATTTCCCCTTCCCTGGGAGATCCAAGCATCCGCCCTTGGGCCCTCCTTGTTCCCTAGCCTCTCTGGGTGTGTGGATTGTAGCATGGTTACCCTTTACTTTACAGTTAATATCCACTTATGAGTGAGTACATCTTTTTGGGTCTGGGTTACCTCCTTCAGGAAGATTTTTTTTTCTAGTTCCATTTATTTGCCTTCAAATTTACTGATGTTACAGCCAAGTAATACTCCATTGTGTAACTGTACCACATTTTCTTTATCCATTCTTTGGTTGAGGGGCATCTAGGTTGTTTCCTGATGCTGGCTATTATGAATAAAGCTTCTATGAACAAAGTTGAACAAGTCCTTGTGATATGACTGAGCATCCTTTAGGTATAGGCCAAGAGTGATATCACTGGGTCTTGATTCCCAATTTTCTGAGAAACTGCCATATTGATTTTCAAAGTGGCCGTACAAGTTTGCACTCCCACCAGCAATGGAGGAGAGTTCCCCTTGATTCACATCCTCTCCACTATGAACTGTCATTTGTGTTATTGATCTTAGCCATTCTGACAGGTGTTAAGATGGAATCTCAGAGTTGTTTTGATTTGCATTTCCCTGATGGCTAAAAGTGTTGAACATTTCTTTAAGTGTTTCTCTGCCATTTGAGATTCTTCTGTTAAGAATTATCTGTTTAGGTTCCATTTTTAAATTGAATTATTTGTTTTTTTTTGATGTCTAGTTTCTTGAGTTCTTTATATATTTTGTAGGTCAGCCCTCAGTCAGATATGGGGTTGTAAAGATTTTACCGATTCTGTAGGCTGCTGTTTTATTGACAGTGACATTTGTCTTACAGAAGTTTTTTAGTTTCAGGAGGTCCCATTTATTAATTGTTGATTTTAGTGTCTTTGCTACTGGGGTTCTATTCAGGAAGTGGTCTCCTGTGCCAGTGCATTCAAGGCTATTCCTCACTTTCTCTCCTATTAGGTTCAGAGTAACTGGATTTATGTTGAGATCTTTGGTCCACTTGGACTTGAGTTTTGTAGTAGATATGGACCTATTTGCATTCTTCTACGTGACGAAGTCTAGTTATGTCAGTACCATTTGTTGAAGAAGCTTTCTTTTTAACATTGTATAATTTTGGCTTCTTTG